GTTCCCCAACAAAGTCTCACCAGTCAAAGTCAGATCAATGATCCTCGCCTTGTTCACGGCCGACGCCGTCTCCGCGCTGGCACCAACAGAAACTGAGCCCCCCCATCCCCATCCCCATCCCAGTGCCCGTCCAGTCCCAGTCCCGTCCCCGTCCCAGTCAACCCGCCCCCTCCTCCTCCTCGGCCTCCACTCTCAACCCGCATGGCATCCAGCGCATCGTCACCATCCTCAGACAACCCCAGCGTCATCTGCAGGCTCTCAAACCCCGCGGTGAGTTTGTCGCGGTAGCGTTTGCCGACGCGGTTTTGCTGGTGCCGGAGAGTGCTGCTGCTGTTGCTGCTGCTGCTGCTGTTGTGTATTTTGTGGCTGCTGCGGCGGATGCTGCTGTTGCGCATGCGGCTCGTGGTGGGTGGCGTTCCTGTGTAATGCTTGTAGTGAGGCGTGGTGTGTTCGTCGCTCCGTCGCTGTAGGGGGGTGCTGCTCGCTGCTGGAAGAGAGGGGTTGGCTGTGGCTGCTGCTGCTGTGTTGCGGCGGCGGTTGCTCGCGCTGCGATTGGCGGGCGTGGGCCGGGAGGTTCCGCCGATTGCCATCTGGAGAGTTGCTTGGTCGCTGTGGATGTCTGGCTGAGTTTGACGGCCTTGACCACGTAGGGTTGGCTGCGCGTGTTGTGGTGTTAGTTGGGAGGTGTTTGTCGCGCGAGATTGTTACGGGAGCGGGGAGTGATGTGGGCCCTCAGCCCTCGGTGACGATCAATTAAGGGGGGCGGGGCTGCCCGATGCTGGGGTCGAGTACCCGGCCAGGTGTGCGGCTCGTGCCGCAGGGCGGCGCAGGTACGGACTATGTACCGATCGCCTCAATGTGGTTGGGGGCCACGGTTATCGGCTACGGTCTGGGGTGTCTCGGGATTCAGAAATTCGGGAAAAGTACCTCATCCACCGGGCTCTGATGAGCAAAACGCCAAGTCGGCTCTGGCGGCCAAGCGGCCCGTGGTATATACCTTTACTTGTATTCGGCGTCAATTTCGTCTCGTCACAGTTAGGTCTGGTTGTTACGACCTGAGTGGGGACGGCTTGTTGGTTTGTGGTGTGGTGCCAAGGCCGGCGCACCCCTTTCAGACCCCTTCTTCAATCATCCTCGCGTCCTGGAGTAATTAGGTACCCGACCTCAACCCTTTCCCTTCCAACTTCCCTCTCTTCTATCTCTTTTTTGCTTTGTCCCTCGAGCAACATCTGCGCCAGGTCGCCATCCTAGGCCCTCCCCTCTTAGGCCATCAACAGGTTCAACGATATTTGCGGTTCTTGGTGTCGTTAGAGATATCATGCGCGTCATATCTCACGCCCTACGGTGCCTCGTGGTCTCCCTCGCCTGCCTTGCAGCCGTTGTTAGCGCCGCCAATGGCGATGTTTTGGAAGTCGATGTCGTTTTCCCACGGAATGAGACTTACGCGCCCACGGACTCATTCCCCGTCATTTTTGCGTTCCAGAACGCCCACCTTGCATGGTACCTCAACATGGATATACGTTATCCGATAAGAAACCGCTCGGTTCCGATCAGCGATTACGTGCCATACTGCCATACACTCCGATGAGCCAATTGGTCCTCCTACGATCCGTACTTTGTTGGCCGTTTCCTCGATAAACGCTTCACGGTGGAGGGCGAATGGCGGCTGACCTGGCAATTTACGTGGCAAGGCTGTCTTGATGAGTCCCTCGATAACACCTGGTTCGATCCGACTAGCCAGCGTCTCATCACCAATACATCAATATAGGCTATGGACTTCACCTTCAACAACGACGGCCAGACAGCGGACCTCGTTGCCGCTACCGCGAGGAACGAGACATGCCTGGAGGAACTTGGCACCACCATCAAGGTCACAGGCAAGACTCAGAGCATCAACGACTTCTACTGGTCTGGGGGTTACACCTGCGCCGTTTTGGAACTTTCATCTCCGACGCCCACCCCAAACCCTTGCGCTGTCAGGATCGACTCGGCTACAGCTGCCAGTATCTCCGCTTCCTACGTCGCCAGGTTGTGCAGCGTCACCTTCCCGCCAGACTACTGCCCACCAGAGGAAGACAGTGCCTCCCGCCGGCTGGCGGTTGCTGGCGTGGCATCCTTAGCGGCCGCGTTTGGCGCCTTCGGTTTTCTTTGGCTGTGAGCATGGGATCAATGATTGGGTCATGGCCACACGTGTTGTTTTGCCCCTTCATTCGCATACGCACCAGGCTGTATCCTTGTACAATACCGTGCATCTTTGTACATTAATACTCTCGCATTAGTTTGTTAATTTTGGCAATCGGGCTCCCTTCTCGCATTAATTATCATCACTTGTCTCTCTTTTAAGTCCCCAAAAATCCCGGGATCACAGCGCCGCGTGGGTGGTCCGGGTTGCTGGCTGCTTGGCGGACTCGCACTGCAAACCCTGCTCCAAGAATAGAGAATAGACGAGGCAAGACGCAATGCTGGCCTTGCTTCAGTGCCCATGGTGACTCACAGGCCAACTCATGGACATGTCACTCATCTGAGCGAAAGGTGGTTGGGGAGTGCCTCTCAGCCGGCATCCGAGCCGCATCTTGCCCGTGATTGGATCCATCATGAAGTCGAAAACTGCCCGAGATAGAGGGTGACCAGCCAGAAACAGATCTCCGCTCGCAAAAATTGCCCTCTCGCTGTATCTCGCTCTCAATTTCGTCCCAGAAGGTGCAAGGGTCCAATGCAACCTCGAACCAACAGCAGGAAACCATCCCAGTTTTGTGCAAGCCGGAAAAATGGTGCGGCCTCGCCACCGCAATGGACATCCGACAATACTACACTGCATACCCCTTTTCATGGCCGATCTTGCATGCCGGACAAAAAAAAAAAAGATTTTCAGCGCATGTCGTTGGTCATGCGCGTCTCTTTCACCCACCTCGTTGGCGATGCGTGGGGAAGGGAAGGACAATCGGCAAACACGTAAAATACACGTAAAATACACATACACGAATGATCGACCCTGGGGTCTGCAGTGGATCACAGATGCATCAACCTTCAAGAGGACGATCTTACGAAAAGACGAACGAGCATTCGAAAAATAAGGGAGAGGTTCATCGGCGAGAGGCGATCGAGACCAGGAAGCTTTTGTGAAAGTCGGGCGGCACTGCCCGAGGGACTGCAAGATGGCGGCGGAGGCGCAGCCCCAAATCGTGGTCGAGGTGGCCGACCAACCCACCTTCGCCGAGACGACCGAGCCGCGCGTTGAAACCGAGCGCGAAAGCTCGCGAAGCCATGCAATCGCTCGAGGACGTGGCTACCCACGTCGAGGAGAGCGGCGAGCGAGACCACGCGGGCGGTTACGACGCGAGGAGCACGCGCGTCTGGGATTTTATATGGAGCCAACAGCCGGATCGAGACGGGGAAGTCAGGTATACAGATGCTCCTGGAGGCGATCAACGAACAACGAGACGAAATGTACCGAATGATTACCGAGCAGCGAAACACGATTGGCGAACTACGCGAGGTGATTTGCAAGCAGCACGACGCGATTCAAGAACTACATCGCCAACTTGCAGACACCAGGACCCAGCTTTCTGAAGAACTGAGACAAGCGCGGGATCAGATTGATACCCTTCAACGCCACCCGGTAGCCATGGCTTCGTCCCAACCAAGCGCAAGAGGGTCATACGCCGAAGTCGCTCGCACCCCACCATCAAGCCAGCCAAGCGGTGTGCGCACCCTCTCCTCGCGAAACACGACGCCTTCATCCTTTACCGACACGTTGTTCTGTACGATCGATACATCTAGGGTGGAGGAGAAAGAGAAGGGAAACGTCCAGGTGGCGGACATTAGAAAGGCAATCGAGACAGAGGCCAGGGCACAGGAAAGCATGGGAGACTGGCGTTGCGCTGCGGTTGTGAAGGAGGCCCGAAACCCGGACCGAGTCAGAGTAATCTGCAGGGACGAAGGCGAGGTCCAGCTCGTCAAGGAAGCGGCAGTGAAGATCAGTGTTCCTGGAGTGCGGGTATTGAGAGACCAGTTGTACCCGGTGAGGGTAGACAATGCCAACCGAACAGCGGTCCTCGATGCGGACGGAAACATCCTGCCGGGAGCCGCAGAGGCGCTAGGGACAGAGAACGACGTCAACATTGCGAAGATTGCCTGGCTCAGCAGGAAGGATACAAGCAAGGCCTACGGCTCGATGGTTGTCTACGTGACGAAGGGCAGCGAAGCAAGGCGACTTCTAGACGGGCGTTACTTCCATCTCGCCGGAGAATCCGCTTACACGACCGTTTTCGCGCCCCGGGAAGGCCCAATCCAGTGCTACAGATGCCAGGAGATCGGCCATAAGGCCTTCGCCTGCAAAAAGCCGCAAAGATGCGGAAGGTGTGCGGAACAGGGTCACCACCACAAGACGTGTCAGTCCGTGGTCCTGAAGTGCGTGCTATGCAGAGGACCACACGAGTCATTTAGCAAGAACTGTCGGGTACGCTGGTTGAACAATGGGGCCCAAGACGCTTAAGATCCTTCAGCTCAACGTCCGCAAACGGAGAGAAGTGCAGCAGAGTCTGCTAAACGACGAGGGACTCAAGGACTTCGCAGTGCTGGCCATCTCCGAACCATATGCCAGGCTGATCGAAGGCTCGGTGACGACGGTCCCAATGAGTCATCACAACTGGACGAAGCTTTATACCAACGGACAAGACGAGGAAACCCACGTGGCCAATTCCGGAGCATGCTATGGGTACGAAGCGATATGGAGGTCGAGCAGATTCCAGTGCCGTCGGCAGACCTCACCGCAGCACGCATTCGGCTCCCAGATCGGGCAGTGCTGATGGTGTCAGTGTATGTGGAGGGTGGTAGTGACGAAGCACTGGAAGATGCAATGAGGGAAATTGACCGACTGATTAGGAGGTTTCGAAACGGAACAGGGACGAGAACGGATATCATCCTGGCGGGCGATTTCAACCGCCACGACCAGCTTTGGGGAGGGGACGATGTCTCACCACGGAGACAAGGCGAGGGAGACCGCATCATCAACCTCATGGACGAACACTCCCTCTGCAGCCTCCTCCCAAGAGGCACGAAGACGTGGCAGTCAGGCGACATTGAGAGCACAATCGACCTGGTACTGGCCTCTGCAGAACTAGCAGACCAACTACTCAGATGCACGATTCACCCCTGCGACCATGGGCTCAGACCACAGAGCAATCGAGACAGCTTTTGACACCTACGGTGGGAGGACCGTCCCAGTGAGACGAGGGTTCCTCTTTCAAGAAACGCGGCCCTGGGCGGAAATTAGGACTAGGGTGGCAGCAAACCTCGAAACGCATCCCCTGGGACGGCAATGTCCAGCAGCAGAACGGACAAGGCTCATGGCAGCGGTAACCGAGGCGGTCTACGGCCTGACACCTAAAGCCAAGCCCTCACCATACGCCAAGCGGTGGTGGACAACAGACCTGACACGGCTTCGCCAGACATACACGTTTTGGAGGAACCAGGCGAGATCTCGACGTAGGATTGGGCAAACAGCACCAGAGCTCGAACAACGAGCCAGGATGGCAGCCAAAGAGTACCACGACGCCATCCGCAGACAGAAGAGTTCGCATTGGAACGACTTCCTGGCCCGATGACGCTAACATCTGGCAAGCAACGAAGTATCTGCAAACCGGCAGCGGCACGATGGGCGATAAGATACCCCCGCTCGTCCGACCCGATGGCTCCATCACGGAGGGTAAAGCAGAACAAGCGCAGGAGTTACTCACCGCCTTCTTCCCACCTTTGCCAGCGAGAATCGAAGACGAGGGCCAACGACCTCAACGGGCGCCGGTACACATGCCAGACCTAACAATGGAGGAGATAGAACAAAAGGTCCTGTCCGCTAAGCCATGGAAGGCGCCCGGGGAAGACGGTCTACCGGCAATGGTATGGAGACAGCTCTGGCCAGTGGTCAAAGACAGGGTGCTCCATTTATTCCGGACGTCGCTTCGAGACGGCGACATCCCCAGCCAGTGGAGGAATGCCAAGATCATCCCATTGAAGAAGCCAGGGAAGAGCGAATACACTCTAGCCAAGTCCTGGAGACCCATCTCGCTGCTCTCCACGCTGGGTAAGATACTGGAGGCAGTCATTGCGGAGCGTTTATCCCATGCTGTGGAGACCTGCGGCCTTCTACCCGCCAACCACTTCGGAGCCAGGAAGAGACGCTCGACCGAAACAGGCTCTCCTTCTGCTTCAGGAACACATCTACAAAGCATGGAGAGCTAAGGAAGGTGCTCAGTTTGATCAGCTTCGATGTCAAGGGCGCCATACAATGGGGTCCTTCAAAAAGACAGGCTTCTCCAGAGGCTCAAGGCAAGAGGGAAACCTGAACCCCTGGGTCAAGTGGATCGACGCCTTCTGCTCCAAGCGCACAGCGACCATTGGCCGTAAAACGGGTTCACATCTGGACGGCAAGAGCTGCCCCAAGCGGGTCTTCCGCAAGGATCGCCGCTGTCTCCAGTGTTGTTCCTCTTCTTCAACGCCGACCTAGTGCAGCACAAGATCGACGCGAACGGAGGCGCAATTGCCTTCGTGGACGACTACACTGCCTGGGTAACGGGCCCGTCAGCGGAGTCGAACCGCACTGGAATCCAAGCTATCATCGACAAAGCCCTTGACTGGGAGAAACGGAGCGGTGCGCAGTTTGAAGGCGAAAAGACAGCCATCATACACTTCACGAGGAACATGGAGCGATTTTCAGAACAACCGTTCTCGGTCAAAGGCGAAGTGGTCAAACCGAAGGAAAGTGCGAAAATCCTAGGTGTCGTGATGGATCGCGAACTCCGCTACAAGCAGCACATTGCTAGGACGGCAGCTAAGGGCCTCGCAGCCGCTCTGGCCCTGAAGAGGCTGAAGATGCTTTCCCCGCGGACAGCGAGACAGCTATTTGTTGCGACAGTAGCCCCGGTCATGGACTACGCTGCCAATGTCTGGATGCATGCGTGCGGGGAAAAGGCACTGAGCTGGCTGAACAGGGCGCAGAAAATCGGGGCTCTGGTCATCACGGGAGCCTTTCGAACCGCGGCAACAGCCGTGGTGGAAGCTGAAGCGAGCATCTACCCCGTACGAGAACGACACGCCCAGGCGGCAGCCAGTCTGTGGATCAACATCCACACGCTGCCCGGAACGCATCCCCTTGCCATGAAGAAAGTCCGGAACACCGTACGATTCGTATCTCCGCTGCAGAAAATTGCCCGTGTGGCCGAAGGAGTACGAGTTGACCGGATGGAGACAATCCAGGAATACGCCGTCCCGCCCTGGGTACCTCGCCTACGACCGACGCTCGAAGCCGATCGAGGGAAGGCGGCCGAGATGGTCAACAAAATTTCGGGAATCGTGATCGCAACCAGCTCATCCGTAAAGAAGGGCATTGTTGGCATGGGCGGCCTTGCACGGGATACTCTCTTCAACAGAACTAGCGAGACTGTGACAAACTATGCTGTTGTTCTTGGGACAAGGGAAGAGCAGAACCCATATACAGCAGAGCTAGCAGCCATCGCAATGGCCCTGGAGAAGTTACCGGCTAGCATCTGCCACAGGCACATCACCGTGATCACTAGGAACCAGTCAGCGCTGGCAGCAGTTGGACAGCCGCGGCAGCAATCCGGCCAAAGCATCATACGGCAAATCTACGACTTGGCCAGGCTGCACCGACAAAGAGGGAACTCGGTCAACTTTCTGTGGATACCAGCGGAGATTGACTTCGCGCTGGGGTCAGATGCCAAGGCAGCAGCCCAGAGAGCGTCGAAGCAAGGACGCACACCCGACTCCCAAATACCCCAGGCCAAGTCTACCGCGATGAGGCTGGCAATGGAAAGACAACGGGCGACAAGAGTTCTACCTGTAAGCGTGGGCAAGTTCTCAAAGGCCATGGACGCAGCACTACCAGGCAAGCACACGCGCCATCTCTATGACAAGCTGAAGCGAAAGGAGGCCTGCGTATTGGCGCAGCTCCGAACCGGAATGGCGAGACTGAACGGTTTTTTGAGCAGGATTGGGGCGGTCGAGTCAGACCTTTGTGCCTGTGGACAAGCGAGGGAATCAGTGGAACACTTTCTTTTCCGATGCGTGAGATGGACAGCTCTGAGGGAAGACATGCTGCAATGCACAGTGGCAAGACGAGGAAAGCCTCTCGTTCTATCTGGGAGGGAAAGCGCCATCAGATACAAGGCATTGGTCACCAGATATGAAGGCAGTCAGGGCGACGATCAAATACGCAATGGCAACAGGAAGGCTGGAGCTGAATGAGGAGAGAGAGTCTAGACCAGTCACAGTAGAAGAAGCCGACACTCAACACCACGAGCCTCAACCACGAGCCTTAACCAGCAGGTCCCGCTTTAGCTGCTGAAGATAGGACGCTGAACACTTGGAGAAAGTAGCCTCCAAGTTGATCTGCTAACAACAACCAAGGCAAGAGGTAAATGGTGCAGCGAGAAAGAGGGAAGAAGTAGGGGGCTTGTACGAGTTAAAGGCAAACCGATTTGATCCGGATGTAGTTAGCGTGCTAAGGCCCTATAGGCCCAGTGCCTCCGGGCGAAATAAATTCCATCCATCCATCCATCCATCAACCTTCAAACTCCATGATCCACAAAACTTGCAATACTTGGCGGTTCAACCAAATCGAAATTACTACACTATTTCACACACAATACCTGCAGGCCGCACCCGACTCCCCTACTTCTTAACACCAATGCAAACATACGTCCCGAGCTGCGACGTCCGACAATCCTGACCAACGCCAGTATTCCACTTAATAAAGTCCCCAGTCGAGATGGGCCCATTGAGAAAGGAAATGATGTCGCAGGTATCACTCGGGTTGACCTTGGTGAACTTGTTGCAGTTGCTGACCATGACCGGGTGGGTGGGGTCGGCGTTGCGATGCCGTTGTCGGGTGTGGTCGTCGTTGGCGTGCTTCCTTTGACACCGACGCAGGCATGCTAAGGGCGGATAGCGAGCGTCAGCACTCTCGTTTGTTGCGACCACCCACCACAAATGGGTCGGTCAATCGGGCGAGATGGAGCGAGGGCAACTTACCTTCCGGGCCCAGAGGCCGCTGCAATCGCTTTTGGCTGCGGGGTTCCACTGGACGAACTGCGCCACCGTGATGGAATAGAAGGCCGCAATGGCCTCGCAGTTCTGGTCCTCGGCGACCCAATGGAATCGGTTGCAGTTATCGATCTTGGCCGTCCTGTGTCGGGCTCGGTGTGTCATTGGGGTCGGACGCCGTTGTGGTGGTCGAGGGCTTGGTGGTGGTTGAGGGTTGGGTGGTGGTGGGCGGCTGGGTGGTCCTTGGAGTCTGGGTGCTGGTCGATGACAGGCTGGTGGTCGAGGCGGTCGTAGAGGGTTCATCGGTCACGGTGCCTACCACACAATACTCCTTGCCCGCATCGAGACCGGCCCAAGTGATACTAGGGTTCAACGACTTGAGCTCATCGACTGACGGGACTCCCCAGGATAACGCAAAGCTTTCGCAGGTGGTGCCTGGGTCAGGGGTTACGGAAAGCACGCAGGTGACGAAACGGCGTGACAAGGCACGACCGGGACGCCATTGCTGGTGCGAGTCCAGCGATGACGGAGCGTTTGAGATGCATCTTTGCAGACTTGGACTTGTGGTTCAAAAGGGGAAGTCAAATAATGGGAGAAGAGCAAAGGAATGAATCCGTTCGGCTGTGAGATTGATCGATCCTGAAGGAAAGAAGAGACAGACAAGATGTTTTGAACAGTGCAGCGCCCGGTATTTATTTCCGACCCTCCCTCGTCCATCCATCCCTCTTTCAACATAGGTAGCTGGGGTGCTAAAATGGAGGCGTTAACTTCCCTTTTAACTATAATTTTAGTTCTAACTAGAGCGGTTGGATGCTACAGGTCTAAGTGCATATATCCCTCACCAGGTCTAGCTTGCCTTCCTCTAGATGGAAATTGCCCTGTACCTTCCTCTAGTAGATATGTCCGAGTTGCAGCTGGACAAATTGCGCGCAAGACTGCCTGTATTACCTAGTCGCTGGTCGTCTGCCTCCTTCGCCGCCTTACTTCCCCCGTCGTGTTTGCGTTCCCGCCCTGGTGTCAGTCCGTCGCCGTGTTGTTACCCCTTGCCTCGTTGCGATGCCCGACTCCGTTCAGCCCGACTCCGTTCAGCCCTTGGCCCCAGAGGCCATCTCCACCCTCATTGATAAAGGTCGTAGCCTTTATGAAAAGCTTGTCCGCCGGGTCCATGACCCGTGCGAGGACTCAGAGCTCCCGGGACTTGATCCCAACTATTGTATGAAACCTTGTATGTCGTAATGTTCTTAGTATTGTGTTGAATCCTTTGGACTTTTGTTAATCGATCTTCGTAACTGTGTATAGCGGTCCTCGAGAACCTCTCCATCACCCCACAGATGGAAGCGCCCCCGTCACCCGCACCACCGCCATCCCCAGGCCCGCCAACCACACCAGATCACCCTTTCTCAAGAAGAGAGGCCCGGCACCACCGAAGACTGCTCGCGAGTCAACAGTCGGCGTCATCGCCCAGCACGCCAACTCGGAGGTCCCGCGCCAGGCACGGGCGAAACATCTCGGCGCCGTGAGCCACCCACACCGGAGGATCAGGACAAACTCTCACACGATATGGGCAACATCGTCTGGGGATGGGCTAACGTGACTCTCATGGCTCTTGAAAGATTATTTTATTGAAAGCAGGAGTCTCTTGACATTCTTTGGAAAGCCATGTCCGACGGCAAGCTCATCCGCGGCTTGGTCGAGGGCCCGGTTCATGATGATATCCCCGATAAAAACGGCTTGCACCAGGAGTTGCGCAGTGGCATTGCCAAAACCTTCTTCGGCTTCGCAATCCCCACCCTCTGGCGCTATTCCCGATTGTTCGCTTTTGTCATGGACTGTGGCGTCGGCTGCAACGAAGACAAGGGGCCGCTGCACGAATACATCGACGCCGCCGTCATGAACAAAACCGGGGTCTGCACCGACGGCAGACAGTACTATCTGCTTTCCCCCTCGGGCAAGGCCGTAAAAGATTGCTGGTGCCGGCACTACCGGGCTCCCGGTGAATGTGACGACCTGGTATGCGGCGAGAAGAACACGTTCTCCCCGCCGCCCGGCCTCGACGGGCTCGGCGGGAATGCCTGGGGAGGCGTCCAGACAGCGGACCAGATCAAGGGCTCTGTCCGCACGTGGATCCAGAACGGCAAAAAGAACAGCGCCGCACTCGCGGACCCGGACAACAGCGCCACGGCCGACAACCTGCTCAAGGTCGACGTCACCACGCCGGGGTTCATCCGCCTGCTCGTGTGCAGCCCCGAGCGCGCGTTCCAGTCCTGGGACACGGCCGAGCCGGGCTCCAGCGCCAACTTCCCTTGCGACATCCCGCCGGGCCGCAACTTCTGCGACATCTCGACTTTCGTGGGCCAGATCAACGACGCGTCGCCCGCTTCGAGGGACTGTCTGCAGATTATCCGCAATGTCGAGAACGACGGCAGTACGTAGTGGGAGGTCTTCACCGCGGGGCTCTCGCAACGCGCTATCGCCACGGCGGGATCCTGCCGCTTTGGCGTGGAGGCTACCGTAAATCAGGGAAATGCCGCGTTCTGGGTGGGCGGGCAGGATGTGCGGGATATCATTACTGATGCGGTAAAGAAGTTTGGTGGTAGCGGTAAGGTTAGTGGGTATGGCGAGCTGGAGTGCAATGGCAATCTTGGGCACCAGAAGATCAAATGGGGTATCTATTAGTTAGGGGGTTGTTTGTCTGAGGTTCAGGGGGGTGGTGAGGAGCTTACTTTCTTTTGTAAGGTACTTTTGAGATCATTTGGCAAGAGAGTTAAGAGGATAATATGGAACCTTGTATGTCAGGTACCTAGTCTCATTTTTTCTCTTCTCTTAGATTATTTTCTCCTTTCTCTTCACTCTTCTTTCTTCTTAATTTCCAATCTTGTCCTCTACTTTTCGTCAGACAAGTAACTATGTCGAAAAAGAGGTTCTTGCGGCTACTCTGGGCCTAGGTGTTTTTTCTTGACGTTGCGGATCTGTTCGGCCGTGAGACAATACTCGACGGCCAAGTTGGTGTAGCTGACGTTCGTCTTCAGTTATGTTTACCTAGTTTTCATTTACAGGAAAAGGTACTTTAAGAAGGCCTTCAGACTGACCGTTCTCGAATCCTTTAGTGCTAGTTCTCCAAGCTAAGTAGTGAACTGGCCCACGATAGTCGAGATGCGACGGAGGTATCGTCTATCTGGGACATAGAGAAGGAAGTAGGCTGTTAGTTTCTTCACTCGACTCTCTAACTTTCCCCAGTTCCTTTTCCCTGAGTCATACCCCTTTAATCGGCTCCTAGATCATAGATGTGCCGGTAAAGAGGGTAACCCTCCCGGGCGCTAGTTCCATCTGAAGCTGGTCCATGTCCTTATCTCCTCTTTACACGCCTCCACATCAGCCAAATCCTCACCGGGAAGTGCAAAAGTGTGTTAGGTAGAGAAGTGATTAGATCGTCGTTTTTAGATGCCCAATGAGTAGGTGGCGGTTGAACTCGAAGTGTCGATCTTAAGGTGACCGGGGTTTAGGGAGTTAGAGGCTAATTCCGGATGCGAAGTCGAATACGTCAAGCAGGTCCATAGGTAGGTAGTCGAATCATCTTTCGGTGCTTTGTGGGGTGAGGATTACGTCCGAGGGGAGCGGGGCAGCTAGAAACCTTTGGGCTCAATATGACCTGTCTTGCAACAACAAAGTTGCAGTTGGGACCCCAGGGCAAAGTTTCTCTCACACACAGTCCCACTCATCCGCACACCTTCGCTCACTCACAGTCACTCTCACATCTTCAGTCTGCCACATCCACCTCCAACTATCCCTCAACATGTCGATCCCCCCACCCCCCCAACCGGCCCCAGCTTCAGCCCCTGACCCAGAGCAGCCCTACGCCCCCGGCCACGCCGCCTCGCAGACGCAACACCACGAATGGCGCACCGCGTCAAACAGCGCCGCGCACCTCCTCTCCCACCTCCGCCGCCTCGCCCCAACGCAGCATCATCCCCTGCATCTCCTCGACGTCGGTGCCGGCTCCGGCACCATCTCGGCGTCTCTCGTCCAGCACCTCGCGCCGCTGGGCGGCTCCGTCGTCGCCACTGACATCTCCGATGAGATCCTCGCGCGCGCGGCGGACCACGCCGCTGATGTGGGTGCAGCCGGGAATATGATTTTTCGTCGGGCGTCGGTCTATGCCCTCCCGTTTGCTGATGGGGCGTTTGATGTTGTGCATGCGCATCACGTGTTGTGTCATCTGAATGCGCCGGTTGGATGCTGGTGCTGGGGAGATGGATGAGGTGTCTTGTTCGGGGTGAAATGCGGTCGGGTTTGGTGTGCGCCTGCGGGGAAGTCGGATAATGGCAATCTCGTGGGTGTCGTAATGGGCCAGAGACGGAGGGGGCTGCGCAAGTTTCATAAGCTTATGGTGGCTACGCTCGTGGCTAATGGTGGGGAGGACAGGGGTGGTAGGAAGTTGTTGTCGTGGGTGCTGGAGGCGGGGGTGGACAGTGAAGATGTGGAGGCAGGGTTCGGGGCGTGGTGCTTTAGCACGGCGGAGGACAAGAGGGTTTGGGGTGAGTTGATGTCTTTTTAATAACTTTTTTTTCTTTTTCCTGGAGTTGTACTTAAGGGTGGGGGTGGTCTTCACTAACATGTGGTAGGTGAGTCGATGATATCGAGGTTACAAACAGGGCAGATGCGGGACAAGGGGCTCGAGATGGGCATCACGACTGTTCAGGACATTGAGGATATGATCAAGGCATGGAGGGAGTGGATTAGAACCGAGGGCGCGACACTGGGGCTGATGAACGGCGAGGTAATTGTGAAAAAGAAGTGATGACGAAGTTGTGAAGGGGGTGGTACTACTAGCAGGACTTGGATTTGTTAATCGAGGACGGACCAGTTTTGGGCTGGGCGATAACCGTGTCATTGAAGCATATTTGGTCCCAATAAAAGCACCTATCTCGTAGGTTCCCCCTGAGATGTTTGTTCAGTTCCCTGCAAAGATAAACCACTCTGTAATCCCCCCTTTTTAACACCCCGTGGGCCTTTTTTGGGGGCGAAGGAAAATAACGGGTACTTAGGTTTTGTTTATTCCAAGACTACCTGCGCATTGCTTAGCATTGTGCTTTAGCCAAGGTAGCCCTTTCTTGAACCATGTTGACGACGATCGACGACGGTCGGGCGTGAGTTGTATTGGGACATGCATTTCGCATACTCTAGGAATCCCTGTTCTTGATCCATTTCAACGAAAAAAATTCAGAGAATCCACCCCTTATCCCATATAGACACCCAGGGCCTGCACTTGGATTGATAAGATAGTGGGACGGGACACAGTTGAGTTATTGAGTAATAGTTATTGTGTGTCGTGTCGCGTCGCGCCGTAAGCTGTAGGTTTCAAGGGTAATAATTTGCCCGATTCATTTCCTCGCTACCATCCTTTCAGACCAGCCTCGACCATTTTGTCTTTCACTGAAACTTGAACCGAATTTCTTTTGCAGTGTGTTTCACCCACCACCATCCCCCTTGCATCCATCCCCGCCCCTTATCTTTTACTCACTCACTTACCCCCACGGCCGGGAACACAGAATCCTCTTGCTTCTACTACGTACACCACGACAACTGCCGTCGACGACATAACCCGCACCTCGTTTCAGGTAGGCCCAACGCCTGCACACTGATTCAGGAGGCGGTGGGGTTGGGGACCGAAGGTTGCCGCGACGGGGCACGTGTTGGTGGAGAGGCCCGGCTCGGGATCCGACGCTAGTGCAACGGGACACCTCTGGATCTGGGGAACCGGGCGGCTGGAGCGGTATGGATGTCCTGCTGTTGATCAGGCGAACATCGGAGGGTATGCGCGGTTGATCCCGGAGCCTAAAATGAAGCGGAAAGTACCTGCCTGGTGTACATACATGACTCCCTCTCTAGGCAAGCGAGGTAAGGTAGGTAGTTTTCTCAACACAAGTCGCGGCAAGTGAGCTCGGTCCATACCCAAAGGAGACAAGGTATCCAGGCTCCCAGGGTCTGGATGTGAGCGCGGAAGCCTCGCACCCCGTCGGTGTGTCTGCGTTGTTCCGGCGCGCACAAATGCTCCACCTGCTCGTCAACCAGAATGACGCGATGTTTGCTAAATTCCCGTCCGGGGTGGGGTGAGCCGGGCCTAGACCCGCCCAGCCACCGGATATGACGGCATGCCTCACCTGCACAACGACGTCATCGGCCTCTCTGGCGTTGAACCCGTGGTGAGACAACATGGGCCGTGGTTGGGGGGCCCTCATGGTGTATTTGGGCCGGAAGAGAACAAACTGTGGACGGGTTGACGAGGTGAGGATTCTCCACGCCGCCGGCATGCACGCCAGCACGATTTAGGCCTCATAATTGCACAAAGCTGGCAGGAGAGCGTCGACCTTTCGCTCTGGTAAGGGTCCTGCGAGAGGGAGGGCGGCCGACGGTCATTGGTTGAGGTTTGCGAGATCAGCAGGATCGGCGAAAGCCCAGGGCTTGGCGGCCTTTTGGATCCTGCCACGGGGTTCCGGATGCCAGGAGAGAACCCTGAAGATGGCAACGGAAGCAGAAGGAATCCGCCGTGGATGCAAACCAACACTTTGGAGACTGTTGTCGGGACACGTCGGCCGTTGTTGCAATGTTGGGGGAGAACTCGACTTCGCGCAGGGCTGATCACCAGAAAAAAAAAAAAAAAAGCGCGTTTTTTCGGAGCCGGAGGCCAGGCCCGAGTCTGGAATCAAGAACGCTGCCCGTGAATGACTGCTTCCATTCTGACTTCACTCAACTGCAACGCAAACTGCAAACCACAAACGGCAGAACTGGCGCCCTTGGGCGGGCTGAGAATCTGAGACAGACCCATTGATCAACCTTCTGAACCATCTGTCTGGGTTTCTAGTTCCGAAATCGCTGAATGCGGCCGTCGGCTGTTCTCGACAACAAAAGAACATCCTAGGTATGGCGGCATTTTTGGGACATTGTGGCGTCTCTTTCAAGCGCGGTGCCGAAGATGGATAGGTGCGCGGGCGGATGGGTGGGCAAGTTTTGGTGGGCAGTTTTGGAAGCAAGCAACTGCGTGGGATCCCGTCACTGAGGAGCGAGAAAGGTACAGTGGCTCGAGAGTGGGTGCATGGCGAAGAGAAGAGGTCTACCAAGAAGGACTGACTGAGTGGGGGTCGCCTGGGCTGCTTCCATGGGCTGCGATTTCGTATTTCCATGGGAGCGTGGGAGAGCACGGCGGGCACAGGCACCTATTTTCAGCGGCTCACCCACTTGCCCACCTGCACCCACCTTGCCAGAAGCTTGACGGCATCCGAGCACCCTCGCACCCACTCACGTCCCCTACGTAGTGTACTTGCCTGCCTTGCTAGGTTCACCCGTGCACACCTAAGGCCGCGCATCAGCCCGAGGTAAGGCACCCAAGCCGGGGGAGCACAAAGGTCCAGACTCGGCCTTTTCCCATCTGCAAAAGCCCCAGAAATTATTCTCGGAATTTGAGAGCTGTTCGCCAGAATCGCATCCCCGCTGCCTGCCTGCGAGCGAACAACCTACTATTTTCCAGTTCGGGTCATCACCGTCACCTGGGTTTAGTTTCGCGCATTCCCCATCTCGCGACTTCCACACTTGCATTTAGAAAAAGAACTAGCATTGCATTGCACTGCTGCGCTCTTGCAATTCTAGTGTGCACAGCAAAAGATCCCGTTCTAGGCCGGGTCCCAAATTTCAGCCCTCGCAACCGACTCGCCGATCCATTTGTGGCGCCTATCACCACCAGCACGCCAACCCCGATCCTGACAGATTTGAGCTTTCGGCTTTTCCCCACGCACCATCGTCATCGGCTCGATTTCCACCTTCGACTTTCGAACCTCATCTTCGTCGTCAACTCCGACATCTCGCGTCATCATCCGATGCCTCGGCTCTACTGATCCCAGCTGGAAACATGGCGAACCCGGTGGGGGAGGAAAACTGGGTCGAATTTGTCGACCATCAGCTGCGCGAGGCCACCGACTTCGAATCCCGCGTGCGTGTCATCGAGGCTTTCCGCCGCGCCACGACCGCCGAACCCGGCAGCATAAAGGTGTGGACGGCCTATTGCGAGTACTTCTGGTCCCTCTACTCCGATTGCCAGCCCGGCAGCGACGCCGGCTGGCCCCCCGACGAGCAGCAACTCGGTCGCGAAACCTTCACCATCGACAATGCCCTCAACCTGTGGCAGGAGGGCTATCAAGCCGTGCAGTACCGCCTCGCCGACAGCCACGAGCTATGGAACCGCTGGGTCTCGTTCGAGATGGAGATGCTGCGGCGCACCGTGACAGCGAACGGCGTACGCAGGATTACTCACCTCTTCAAGGACCGCCTCACCGTCCCGCATGCCACTTGGGATGTTACTTCGCAGATGTTCTCGAGCTTCCTCTCCGAATATAACCGACAGGCGTACGAAGTCGAGATGGAGCAGGTGACGCGAAACGCTAAGGCCGCCAAGCGCCTCTACGAACTGCGCGACCCTTGGGAGACGAAGCTTGCGCGCGCCGCCAAGGCGCAGGATAACGACGCGCTCCGAGCCATCATGTCCGAGTACACCGAGTGGGAGATTCGACTCATCAAGTCTAAGAAGGATGCCAAGGACCTCGCCGTCAATTTCCAGATCTGCCTCGGCCTATTCACACGCGCCCTGACGGGCGTGCTAGCCTCGGACGAGGACACCTGGTTGAACTTTTCGGTCCTGATCTCCACCACCCATACGGACCTGAAGGCCGGCCGGTGCTATCTCCCCCCGAACCTGGTACCCAACATGCTCGACGTCCTCCAACGTGCTGTGCACCACGTCCCGTGGTCAGGGCCCGTTTGGGCCCGCTACATTCTGACCGCCGAAGAGGCCAGCTTGTCATTCACCGACATCGAGCGCATCAAACACGCCGCCACCGACAGCGCACAGCTGGACAGGGACGGCATGTCGGGCGTTCTCGACATGTACTCGGCTTGGTGCGGTTATCTCAAGCGCTCCGCTATGAACCCCAACGCCACCGAGGAGGCCATTGACGTCGCTGAGGTGGGGCTGCCGTCGGCCCTTGAAGACGTCAAACACTGGGGCAAGCGCAAGTATGGCGACGCGTACCAGGGTGACCCTGACTACCGGCTTGAGAAGATTTTGATCCAGTTCCTCACCGAAAAGAAGGACGACATCGACAGCGCCAGGGCCGTCTGGGAACAACTATCGCATATCGACCTGCACGCGAATGGCTACGACTTTTGGCTTAATTGGTACATGTGGGAAATGATGGTGTTCTTCACGGCCAGGACCAAGACGACGCGTAGTCCTACCCCGGTGCCGGCCCACGGGCTGCGGGTCCCGACTTTCGCCACGCGCGTTTTTACGCGGGCGCTCAAGGTCCGCACCGTGGACTGGCCGGAGCGCCTTATGGAAGTGTATCTGAAGCATTGCAACGACTACGAGCGAGCCGAGACGCTGCGCGATGCCCAGGACACCATTTACAAAACCCGCAAGGGCGTGGCCAAACGCCGCGGGCGGGAAGCGGCCCAAGCGGCCCAAGCAGCACATGAGGCTGCACAGGCTGCCCAGCAAGCGGCGCAGACAGAGCAACGCACGGACCAGCCCATGGCAGACGCCACAGACCTCAACTCGTCGCCTAGCTCCAAGCGGAAGCGGGAGGCCACGCCGGGAGAAGATGAGAGCGGTAACAAGCGGGCCAAGAGCGAACTCCATAGCGAGGAACTGAAGCGGGACCGCGAGAATACATCGGTGTGGGTGACCAAGCTGCCCAAGGACGCGACACAGACCAAGCTCAAGCAGTTCTTTCGCGACTACGGGCACGTCAACAATATCGACCTGCAGAAGCAGGACGACTCTGCGATCGCCCTAGTCGAGTTCGGCACGGCGGATGACGCGAGGTCGGCCTTGTTGCGCGACGGCAAGTATTTCGCCGACCACGCCGTCCAGATAACCCCCGCGACGGACTGCACCGTCTTTGTCACCAACTACCCCCCCGAGGCCGATGAGCAGTACCTGCGAAACCTCTTCAAAAGCTGCGGCGACATTTACAGCGTCCGCTTCCCGAGCCTCAAGTTCAACACGAAGCGCCGGTTTTGCTACGTCACATTCCGCGAGCGCGCCGCCGCCGCCGCGGCCACGAAACTCGACGGAAAATCGCTCGAAGCGGGCAAATACAGACTGCTCGCCAAGTTCTCGGACCCGGCCGCCCGCCAAATCCGCCACGGCGCGCAGGCCGAAGAGCGCGAGCTGCACATTGTCAACTTGCCGCGGAGCGCGACCGAGGATGATGTGCGCGGCATCTTTGCCAAAGCCGGGCGCGTCATGAGCGTTCGCGTGCCGCGCAACATGGCAGGAAACTCGCACGGCACGGCCTTTGTGGTGATGGAGACCAAGGCCGAGGCGCAGGAGGCGATCAAGGCCCTCGACAAGCTTATTTTCGGTAACCACCCGATCAAGGTCGAGCTATCCCGCCCCGCCGCCAACAAAATCACCGCCACCAGCCGCGCTGACGGCACCGCTTCCCCGTCCCCCGGCCCTTCACACCCGGGCGCCGAAGCAGGAGCCGGAGCAGGCCCCACCCCGGCCGAAATCGCTGCGCGTACCATCTCCGTGCTTAACGTGCCCGACACGATGACCGACGCGCGGTTGCGGGCCGTTCTCGCACCAGCTTTGACTTCTGCCGCCGCCTCGGGGCCCCAAGACGCCATGACCAAGATGGTTTTGCACCCCACCCATGGCGGCGCCTTGCTGGAGTTTGCCAGCGCCGCTGCGGCGGGCAAGGCCGCGCTAGCCGTGGACGGGCTGGAGATTGATGTTCCGGGTGGAGGTGGTGGTGATGGCGGCGCGGGTTCGAGGAAGCTGCGCACGGGCACTGTTGCGGAGCTGTTCAAGGGCCGTGGGGAGAGGCGGGTTGACCGGGTGGACTTGCCTGCTCGCGGTGGTAGTGGTAGTGGCAGTGGTAGTGGCAGTGGTAGTGGCGCGGGGAATGAGAATGCGGCTAAAAAGAATGCGAATGCAAAGGCGAATGCGGCGGAGCTGATGCCGCCACCGCCGGTGGTTGTTCGGCGGCCCGCTGCGGGCGGCGCGAGGACCGGCCCGAAACGGGTGTTGGGGTTTGTGGGGGGTGTGGTCCCGAAAAAGACTGAGGGGGCCGGGATGAGTAACGGCGAAACGAAGGGCGAGGGCCAGGCCCATATTGGGGGGAAGAGTAACGAGGATTTCAAAAAGATGTTTCTGGGCGCGGGCAGCAACAACAGCAACAACAATAGCGATAACAGCAACCACAACGGCAACAGTGCGCCGGGGCCCGATGCCGACAAGGCAATTGCGAAGGTGGAACAGAATGGGAACATGGCTGAGTAACTGAGGCAACTCTCTCTATGTGTTGTCGGTCTACGACGGCGGCTGGTCGGACGGATGTATGATACCACTGACGGATGGCGCGCCGGCAGGAACTGCGGCCCAGGCTTAGGTAGGCAGTAGGTGCTATGAATACCCCTTGGCATGGTTGCTTTTACCGGGGATTGCAAATTCTGTATGGGTATTTGTATTTCGCGTGTTATACATATTGATATGTTACTTGTACTGAGACAAGGGATTAGGGTGACCACCGGGGCCTTAACCCCTGAGAGCATGACAAAGTGTCGACAATTGACTCATCTCCATCATAGGTACGGTTCGGTTCCCAAATCCCCTCCCCAAATATCCTCCCCCCAAACCATGGAAAAAACAACCGCCCACATATCTCCCATCTCCCAACCCCCGCTGTTCATCTCTCTCCCTCACCCAACCCATTCCCACGCACCGGCCACACCCCTGTGGTGGCGTTGGCCTACACCATGTATAAGACTATCTGGTCCCGGGACTGCCTAGAGACGGAGGCGGAGAGGGGAGTGGAGGAGATGCAGGGCCTCACTGTCGTGGACGACGATGGTGCGGAGCCAGAAGCAAACGGCTCCGCACTGAGGCGAACTTTCCAACGCAAAGAAAGAACGGCGTACGATGATCGGGTTGCGAGCCACATAACATTTTAACGAGCGCCAACAAAGACGAAGGGAAAGTAAATAGCAATCTGTGACGGGTAGCCTACAATGCTTGGATGGCCCCAACTCCTGTCAAGCCGAAGCCCTTCCGCCCTTGTTCTCCTCGGTCCCAACCTCGCCCTTCTCACCTTCGCCCTCTTGGCACTTCTCTTCCTCCTCACGCTCGTCATCACTATCCCCCCCCGCCCACAGGTCAACCATGACCTGCATGGGTACCATCTGAGCAAGGTGGTCCCAAGTACCGGTCCGGTGGGACAGCGTGTAACCTCGCAACAGCGGCCTCACGACGTGGTCGACGGGGCGACCTACGGCCTCGTTCTTCGATGTCGACTACCAGACGTGCACGTCCATGAGATAGCGGCCCAGTTCAATCGGGCTGGTGACGCACTGGGCGGGGCCCTGGTAGGGGAAGCCGGTCGTCTTGCCCGTCACCGGGTCCGTGAAGAGGATCTGCCATTCCACCGGGGATGATTGGAAGCAACTGTCTGCAACGACGGCCGCGTTTGCCACCCCGGCGAGCATCTCGTCCAGTCCCCCACCGGGATACCTTTTTTCCTCCTGCTGATTGGGATCGGACCGTCGGAAGAATTCGCCTAACTCTTCCCTGATGAGGTTAGCCACGTACTTGGGATCGAAGCGATCGGGGTGGCCTGTGGCTAACTGCAACAGTTCAGCAGTGCGGGGCCGCCAGTTGTAGTATAGCTGTTTAATGGCGTGAGACGACTGCTCTTGCCATCCTTCCACTTCGAATATAACGCGGGGGCCGGCGTGCTGGTGGGTTAAATGATGCGGTGGCAGCATGGCCATGGCTTTAGTTCAGTACATGTTCGTTAGTACACGGTGTGGCAATGAGGAGGAGCAAGAGAATAGGGGAGAGAAAAGCAGAGGGACACGGAACGAGGCTCGGGCGCTGTTTTGTACAGGTATAAACACGCTCGAGGGGAAGGGTGACCGTGACTCACCACCTAGTTTGGTTACAAGTCCGCCATAACCTTCCCAAATCTCGCCATCGTGCGTTGTGAAGACCCGGTCGACGAGTAGACGCCAGATCCAGCCCTCGAATATAGCTATAGCCGCGACAGTCCGGTTAGAATGCGGCCCCAAACATAGAATATCTGTGGCCGGGGACTGCGAAGACTTCGTAACTTACTTCGTCATTGGTGATAGCACGCAAAATACTCTTCAGCCCAGGGTGCCCAAGCGGCAAGTTTCTCCTTTTTGTTGGCATCGAGCGTGCCCCAGTCGATCATGTCTACAAAGTGAAGGCGAGCAAACTCCTCAACGTCAGACGCAAGTCTCTCCCAGGCACGCCTGGCACCGGCGATGGTCGCTTGACCGCCGTATGTCTGTAGCACAATGCTGCAAGTCTGGCCGTTGGCAGTTTTTTCGACGGCTTGGTCGTTCCCGTTGCTGGTTCCGAGGGTTGCCGCTACGGTGCCCATTGGAGACGACGGCGTTATCGAGTTGACGAGGGACACTGCCGCGCCGCCCGATGGAGGAAACGATGGATTCGTTCCAAGGGGAGCTACAGCCGTGACATCGGGGGTCGGTGGTACATCGGACGGTAACGAGGTATTTGGAGAGGGCGCGGCCACCGTGGCTAGACAGGGCGCTACTCCGCGCTTCTGAGAAGAGGCTAGCACAGCACTGGGGGGCAATGCTGCGCCAGGCTTTCGGCGTTGAAGTTTGGTCTTGGTTGGGGCCTTCTGGCCTGGTTGACTCCGGGCCCAAGCGCGTTGTGCCATCGCAGTTTCATTATAGCTTTCTATCTTCTTGGTTCGGCGATGTAATCGTTGTCGAGGCATTGCTTTCGTATTTCGTGCCTTCGGATTGTCGTGCACTTTCGGAGGGATACTAGGCTGGCGTAGTGACCGGAGTCAAAGAAAAGGGGTTAGATGGAATATTTTCCCAGGAGAATACAGAAGTTTGTGTCGGGCCCAGGACCGCGAGATTTGCAGTCGATACCTAGAGGCGTAGCCTTATAAAAAGGAGACGTGACGGAGATGCGGCTAAGAGGGCAGTGTAACACAGCGGCTTTTTGGGGAGGCGTTGCCGGCAGCCAGCAAGAAATGGGCAAGGGAAAAGGCAAACAAAGACGCCTCTCTTATACATACATCAGGTGGTGACCCGAAGATCCGCATGCAGCCATCGGCCCCCCGCCAATGTGGAACAGGTGTCTGCCCATTTTGGTATAAGCAAAGTACATACACGCTGACTGTATTTCGCACTGGCAAAAACGACGGTTGCTTAGTTGTTCCGACGGCGCTGGCGTGCGTCGCTGCGTGGTGGTCAACATTCACTTGCCAAGAGTGCATCCAGGACAATGCGCTGAGAACACTCTCTATGGGGTGTTTGAGATATATACTTCCAGTACTAGGTAATTAAAGACACCATTCAGGGCTGGCACCTATGATCCCTACCTATCTTGTTCTTACTTATTTGGGTATAATGGCCACAATCAGGCAGCCACTGGCTCCGAGAGTAAAAGAAGGTGGGTGTGAGTATGTGTCAGCTCGAGACGCGTTGGAAGAAAAGAAAAAGAAAAAGAAAAAAAGAAGAAAAGAAAAAAAAGAACAAAAGAAAAAAAGAAAAAAAGAAAGCGTTGTGGTGTGGCACTTAAGGCTGGAAATCACTAAGCTGAGCAACATGAAGTAGTCGCCGGCATAAAACCCCGCATTCTCAGCCCCTTCGCCAAACACTGCACTGCAGCCTTATTCCGGGAAAAACCAGCCAACTCCCCACAGTACCTATTCCACAATCACATCAAAATGGGCATCTTTGACACGTATTGTGCCATCTGCGGCTGCTCTCTGGAGGGGGCTACCATAGGCTCCAACACCCCCTCGGCTTTAATCTGGCGGCACGCCAGAGTTGCCCGGAAACGCCAAGAACGTGGGTCCGGCGAGTTTGGTCCGGAGACCTACAGTGATGAAGAAGAGGTGGAGGAATATGGGGACGATGCAGTGGACGAGGTGTGGTATCCGGAGGACGAGGGCCGCAGCTACGACCCGACACTCGTCACCTTGGAAAGCATCAGATGGCTCGAAGAAGGTTACTGTCTGGCGGTCAACCCACAAGCGCCCGGTGGCCCTGCGTAAGTTACCCTCACCACCTTGGGAAAACGGTCGAGGATATACTAACGGGCGCCGTGGAAAGGGCCTATATTTCCGGCAGAGCCGTGATATACGAAAATGTACGTCTCTTTTTTGCTGATTTGCGATGGTAGGAAACTAACCTATTTCCTTGCACAGTGTGATGTGAGCGTCCAGGTTGGCACCGGTATAACGCTCTTCGATTCTCTGTTTGGGGCCCTGCGCTTATACTAATCCGTTATAACTACCCTCAGATCCAAACGAACCACTGGAAACTGAACCTCACAGACATCTGTCCTGGTAAGAGCTAAGAACTACAGTTGACTTTGGGACTCCACGATCCCCAAACACATGGTAGATTGCCTGACGTCTCCAAGCTATTCCTTTACCGGGCCAGCCGCATTTCCTTTTCATCCATGCTGCTTCAGCATCCTTACGGACGTGCTCACAGGATCTAGGGATGTGGCTAAAGTTGATAAGGACGCGTTGTACAGCGCAATGTCTGAGCTTGTCATGCACTACCGCTCATCCCTGGAACTCGACTACGGTGAGATTAGTGGCAACGAGCAAACCTGGGAGTCGATTGCCGGGGAAGAGGTGAGCCCACCCGGACAGAAATCCCCCGGGGTTTTCCTCGCAAAGGTTTCTATAACTGACCGCCCGTTACGAAAGTTCTCCGTAACGAGCCCTAGCACAACGCCCGAGATTACCAACTTACTAGCACGCTGCCTGGCCGATGACCGGTTCCAGATGCGGCCTGATGCTCTCAAAATCGATCGTAAAATACGAGTGCAAGACCCGTTCGCGGTGCTGCCGGCCGAGATACTGCACAATATAGTCCGCTTCCTATCCGGAGACGCCTTGATTTCCCTGCGAAGGGCGTCCTGGGCGGTTTTCTGCATGACCCGTCACAACTCGTTCTGGAAGCGGTTCCTCAAGCACGAGATGGCTTGGCTGACCGAACTGCGCCTCCTTGATGATCCGCGACCTGACCCCGAGCCGAGCTACAGAGCCCTATACCTGTGGCTGGACAAGGCAACAGCTCCGAGGTACGGTGTGGAGGGCCCCTTCATGGCTCTTGCAAATAGAAGACGCATCTGGAGTGTTTGCGAGCAGCTTGCCCCTCATTACTTCCGCCAGCTCCAAGTTCCACGACAACAGCCCGATTATCATATGCTTCAAGAGGCCACCTGCCGCCATCTTGCAATGATATCTGGCCTCAGCCAATCGCAGAGTCAGTCGTGGGATGCCCAAAGAACTCTATTTGCGTACTCACAGGACGAGATGAAGAACAAATTGTTTTTCTTCAGTGCATACTGGGCGGAAGGCTATCGTTTGGTTGGGTTATCTGTCGTAGTCCGGAAGCAGAAGCGCACGTTTGGTCTCACTGACGACAACATGCCCCATCTCACTAGGACGACCATGGGTCTCGCCGTGGGTGAGTTTATCACGGCCATCGTCTTGACCGTTGAAACGACGGACCCAAACGAACCCGCAACCGCTTCGCCCTACGTCGTCAGAATGAAGGTGCGTGGACGTCTTCACCCCGAGCCTGCTAAATCTTCCGACAATGAGGTTTCGTCACTCCGGCTATTCCCTTCCATTCATTAACGTCAACCTCCCCATAGGGTCCACACGCAAAGAGAAGGCGTAACCATTTCTAGAAACCGAAACAGCGACGCGAATATCCCCCGGGCTGCCCCTGCCCGCAGCCAAACCCCGCCCTTCAAGTCTCCGCCGGGGACATGTCTCGTCGGAATCACGGGCCACATCGCACTCTGTGTAGCACACACTCCCCACACCCTTTTTCCGGGGGGCCCTAAACCAGAGGGCCCCCTTATTACAGTAAA